TTAATCTTCTTATTTTATTATAAGTTCTATATGCACTCACAAACTTAAAAAAATGAAAACGTATTATGCATTAGGCAAAATTTTGGTGTTTTATTGCGATTCAATTTGAATTAATAAGATAAAAATAAGTTTCTTGCTTTAAATATTTAGTTTATTTGGTGATTGAAAATATAGGAAAGAGTTTAAGATATTCAATCTAAGCATGATCAAACTTATCTCCATGATTAAGAGATTAATATCTCCAGACAATTTTCAGAAACATTCAAAGTTTCAAACAATGGAAGTAACAAAATACATGTAAAAAATTAAAATAAAATAGACATATATATATATGTATATAAAATTTTATTTTTGAAGAATTTTATGACATATGCATGTATTTTAACATATGAAGATCAAGATCCATTCCTTATTATTTTTCTTTCGTTAACTATTAATCATACGTCTTTATTTATTTTGCTAAAAGCTTATATAAGATCTTGATACCAATGTTTTAAAAACCGGACCGTTGGGGCTGGTTCTCAAGTTGACCAGTTTGACTAGTGTGCATCAAACACATCCCTAAAAAATTTTATTAGCCTCTACTAGTTTGAAATCTAATAAACACACCCCTAAAAATTTCCTATCAATCCCTATAGGTTTGAAATAAAGCAAACATACCCCTACAACATCTATACTTTTATTTTATTTTATTCACTTTTTCCTTCCTCTTTTCTTTTTCTCCCCATCTTTCTCTTTGTCTCCTCTTCATTTGGCCACATTGCAGCGTTAGACTTTTCCCCTTTTTCTAGCTGTTTTCTCACCCAAAATCACCCCCCACCCTGTCCTCTTTAAAACCATACCCTTTATCCCTTCTCATCACTCATTGATCGCCGACCATGGAAACCGCATTGAGTGACTGTTTTTGCCGGTTTCCGGCCATTTTGAGCGACGACAACTCCAACCCCAACCACCCTTAGACTCACTAGCTACTCCCTTACAAAACCCCTAAAGTTCCCAAGCCATTCCACCCACCGATCGCCGACAATCACAATGTAGGGTTTCATTGTTTCTTGGCCAAATTCCAATGACCAAAACTCAATCTGACACCACTTCTCGACTCACCGTGATCCACCCTTCAAAACCCCCCAACCCTGATTCTTGTTTGCCTGCCGAACATCGGCCGAGAGCCATCTCCAACCGTCATGATTTGAATTGTTTTGGTGTGGTATTGATCGGATTTTCAATAATTTTTTATTGGTTTTGGCTTCCTGGTTGCCTTGTGCTTATTTTGGTTGTGCGTTGTTGTGTTTTCCTGGTGAATGACACCTCCCCACCGACTAAAACTCCAGCCATGGAAATTTAGGAGTTTGAGTTAACCTAATTTTGTTAGAAAAACCGGCTGGACCGGTGGTTCGCTATAGTTACATCGATCCAACCGTGGGTCAAAACAGGTTAATTACAGTTCTGGTTTTCGACCCTAATCTGCTCGGCTTAGCCACCGATTGACAATTTGACCGGTTAAACCGGTCGAGCCAGGCCAGGTTTTAAAACACAGCTTGATACTGCCACTACATCCTAATTAATATAGCAAAACTGATATTCCTTTGAACAAATAAATAACATTAATTAAAAGATAACCACACAAAATCTTACCTAAAATCCTATGTCTCTCCAAGGTATTTCATTTTGTACAAATACTAACTTTGGTTTGCAAAGTTTTAGGGTTTAAAAAAAAAAAAAAAAAAAAACATAACTCTCTCTTGTATCTTGTTTAGATTGTTACTTGCTGTTTTACAAGTGCATCCTCCATTGGAGATTCATCCAGCAAATTTGTACACTTTTCTAACGGCCACATTCTTTTATTGCTTTGCTTTTACAACTGACACCAAGCTTCATATTATTCATCACACAATCGATTCTCAGATAAACCACTCTCAACTCCTTGGCATTATCGCTTTTATCTTGGGTTCTTTTTCTTCAACTTCACTAGTCTACATCCTCATTCCCCGCTTGATCGTTTACAAAAGGGTTCAAGAAAAGATTAAGAACATAATGATCACTGAAAAGGTCAACTACTTATGGAGCAGTAATTGTTGGAAGCAAGATGGGCACAAAGCTCAAAAGGAAAGAGGAAATAGAAGAGAAATTCACAAATCAAACTTCTTATTTCACTTGTTCAACATAGTTTGAGCACATAACTATATATACTACTCAAAAGATAACTCAAGAGTCTAAATTTAAGAACTTAAATGCTATTCACGTTCACTGGATGTTTCACATACCAAAAAACACGTATTTTACGTTAACATTTGATCGATCTTGCAATACAAGGTTGACACCATAGGATAAAAAACTTAAAATTTGTGATATTGTTTTTACTTGTCTCTCTCAGTAAGTCATTTTCTCTTTGTACCATCAATTTGACAGATGGTATATAATGTTCAACATATCCCATCCTTTATTTTTGGCTCCATTATTTGCCAAGGGAACCTTTATTGGTTGTTCAAAAGCATAATTTATATGACAAAATTAATGGGTAGCCATTTGAATTTTCTTTTTCTTTTTTATCATTATTAAGTATTATTTTCTTTTTGCCCAAGAATTAACATAAAAAGGGAAAAAAAAGGTATGAAGTAAATAAGGTATATATTGATTTATTTTTAGTGATTAAAGAAAGAAATTGTTAGTTGTGAATATGAAAATCAGAGTCTAAAAATATTAGCATGATTAAATATATTTTTAAGACAAAGAAAAGAAATATTATGTTTTGGACTATTATTTTGTATTTAAACGAAGTAATTATAACCACAACTATATGATGGTAGTTACTGATTTGGCCAAATGTGGTCTATAATAATGTGGAAGAATTTGTGGAGCTTCTAGATGGTTTTAATTTCATTAACTATAAAGGATTTAAGAGCTGATAACAAAATCTCTAAAGAAAATTAAATATTATATATACGTACAAAAAAAATTGAATATAAAAGTAAACATAACAAGTTCACATTTACGTCAACTAATTATGATCAAATGTTGTAGGCGGCTGATAACCCTTTCTTAACTAATCCGAGTGTTTTTCCAGAGACTTATAAGAAGTTGTTATACCTCTACATGACTAGATGAGACCTTAGTTACTATGTTAACTTGCTAAGTCAGTTTATGCACAAACCTAAGCAGTCTCATATGCATGTTGCACTAAAGATTGTTAGGTATGTCAAATCTGCATCAGGTACGTGTCTGTTTTTTCCCTCAGATAATCCTATGCAACTATTGGCCTATAGTGACTCAGATTGAGCATTTTGTCTCATGACAAGAAAATCTTTTATTGGTAACTGCATATTCCTTGGCCATTTTCTCTTATCCGGGAAATCCAAAAGGCAAGCCACTATTTCTGAGTCTTCTTCTGAAGTAGAATACAAGGCTATGGCATCCATTGTGTGTGAGGTTATTTGGCTTGTTCGGCTACTTAATGATCTTGGTTTTCATAATGTCACTCTTGTCACATTGCATTGTGACAATCAATCTACCAACCACATTACTTCCAATCCTATGTTTCATGAGAGAACTAAACACATTGATATTGATTGTCATATTGTAACAGACAAGCTAAAAGTTGGATTGGTCAAGACAGCATATATCTCTACATCTGAGCAACTAGTTGATGTATTGACAAAAGCACTTGGCAGCAGACTTTACCCTCATCTCTTAAGCAAGTTGGGGGTTTTAGATATCTATCACCCACCAACTTGAGGAGGGGTGTTAAGAGAATGAGTGCTATGTACTGTAATGTTGTTGAGTGATGTTGTTGTTCATGTAATGTACTGATATATAAGGAATTGTACTGTAGCTGTAGTTACTGCAGTTAGATTGTTAGTTAGTGTTCAATTATCAGTTAAAGTTTAACTGAAGTTATTTACTGTTGAAGAGTTAGTTAGCTGTAGTTAGTAAATCATAGTTAGTTGTAGCTGTAGTTACAGTATTACTGAGAATGATCGAGAAGCAGAAAGTGTGTGCAGATTGATTTAGGTAATAAAACCTAAAATGTAATTTGATCAAGAGATCAAGAAGCAGATGCTGTTGGTGGAAGACACTCTTGATACCATGTAAACAAATGAAGAACAAAGAAGAACTTTCGAGAAAGAATTATGCTTCTTGTGTATTATCAATTCTCAATATCCCACGACTCTAAAAATCCGATAACATTATCAAACCAATAGGATTGCTTCTAGATAATATATTAAAACCTTGAAAGAAACTTTTTCCAGGAAACTTTTGATGGAACAAATGGCAAGTAATAGGGAAGAGGATATACTGAACTTGCACTTCTAATATAATAAGAAGTCCAAAGGGAAAAGTTTGGTATATATTTTTATGAGTTGATGCAGAAGTTAGAGAATTAAATCGGAAACTTTAGAATGAAATCTTTCTTCAAAAAGGAAGTTGAATGCTGAAGAAGCTTTTTGCCATGTGAAAAGTTGCCTTTACAGCTTATATAGCACGGAGGAAAGAGAAGGAAAGGAAGATCTTGTTTTTATTTTGAATAGTTTTCATATTCCGAAAACCAAACTTTTCCCAAAAACACCCAATTGTGAACCAAACGAAGCCTAGAATTCTGGAAAGAGAATTATGAATTTTTAACCAACCCTTGAGTGGTGATGAATTACTCAAGAGGCACTGAGTTCAAATCTTTTCTTGATTGCTAATAAGAATGACCACTAGAACTTTAACACAGTTAATAGTTCCAAAGATCCAAAAGATTAGATGAGATACACATAAACTAACTCGAACATCTCCAGTTATTAAAAAAAAAAAAAACACACAAAAGAAAAAAGAAATATGAACTTTCACAACAATATCAAAATCAGAGCCAGGGTCTAAAATGAGGACAAAAGGTTTTATAACAATTCAACAGTGCTCACAAGAGGGGTAAAAAAACAACACAACCCTCTTTTACTCTTTGTTTACACATTCACATCATAAGATAGTTTCGGTTTTGGACTCCCTTGTGATATGAACTGTGGCAACAATAACAAAATCAGAGCAAAGCTTTAGAAATGAGGACAATAGAAGTTTTTGTTACATTTCAACACTGCTTACAAGAAAAACAACTCTCTTTACTCTTTGTTAACACATTCACATCATAAGATAATATCCCTATGGTAAAAAGATGAAAAAGAAAAGAACAAAGGCTCAAACAGGTTCTTTTTTGATAACCCAATTCACATCATAAGATACCTGGAAAAAGAAGAAAGAAAGGAGTTAGAGTAATCACACTTCCTACAATTTACATTAAGTCTCTACTCGGCCACGACTGTTATTGGAGCTTCAACTGATTCTGGTGCAGCTGTGATCTGTTTTGGTGCAGGAGTTCCTGGTGCGGGTTGGAGGAACTGGGTGAAGTGGAATTCAATCTGTAGCCGGTGATGAAGAGGTGTTGATGCCATTAAACCTTTCTTGATATCTGCCTGCAATTCACGTATTGGAATTGCAGCCAAGAAGCTCTTTATGTACTCCTTGCAAGCCTCCTTCCCGCGGCACACAACCTCCTCTACCTCTTCATTGTTTACCGGCTCCTCATTCTTGGTTAGCAGTTCACCAGAAACAGAACCCTCCTCCTTTACATTGACCTGCTGGACTGGCTGGTTTTTTGGCTCTGATGCTGATGCAACAATCTGCTGATCACCAGCTGGTTTTTCGTCAGTTGATTGAGCAACGTTTGGTAGTTTGTGAATCACACTATTGCAGTCAAATTTCAAAATATAAGCCTGATTGCATCCCTCATAAAGCCTCTCCCCTAACGTGTCAATTATGTAGTAAGCTTCTGGTTCAATCTTGAGTACAAAAAAATGATCGTTCCAGCTAACAATATAAACCTGAGGTTCGCCATTGCTTGGACTTTCTGATCCTGCACGGCTAATCTCATCCCAAATGTTATCAAACGACATGGCACCATGCAAAAAGTCAAATCTTCCCTCATCCATTCCCTCTGGATGAAAAAACCCAATGAAGGACTTTCCTGATATCACACCAAGAGGGCGTATTTTCGCTTGAAGGACTGTTTCCAGATCAAAGTGCTTGTCAGGAAACCTCTCCCTATAGGTTTCATTCTCACAAAGGTTCCTCCATTCCAACGAACCATCTCTGATTAGACTATCAAGTTGGGACTTGACAGGCATAAGACCACGGTTATTCTGGAACCAATCTGCTATTACAGCAACAAGGGCTGTACAAGCACTCTCACCTGCTGCTCGCTCACTCCGCTGATCAATGGAAGCAAAGAAGACCTCACTTTGAAGCTTCATTTGGCCATCACGGCTTATTACTTCTTTGTGCTCCCAACTTCCTATAGCAAAATTGTCATCCCCAAATTCAGAAACTGAAGATCGATTTGCAGATAAATCATCATCTGTTTTAAGCATCTGCCGAAATAATTGCCACTGTTAGTACACAAAAAGTAAAATAATGTAGTCTGTGATCAACTGTGGAAGATATAAAATATTAAGATACTGAATATCACCCTAACAGTACATGTTTCATATCCTTAACACTATGATCTTTCAATATAATCACTGCGATTTTCAATTTCGTATCTTTTTCTTCTCAACTTGAGAGGAAAAGTATTCCAGAAATACATGAGCATAAACTATGAAAAGGAACAAAATCAATAGTTGATTCTTACCCCATGAGAAAGAGATTCATCAGAGCTAAGCTGCCGGCGATCAAAATCAATATCATCCCCACCTTCTTCCCCATTCCCCTTCTTTAACAATGGCTCTCCTTTGGCTTTAGGCGATCTGAAACTTAGCTTTCTCTTCCTCCAAGAGAGTAGGCTGCGCTTCGAACTTTGTAACAGAGATGGCTCAGAGACTGATGCTATTGGATCTTCAGGATGCGAGCAACCCACATCAGACTTGCGATTGCTATAATACACCCAATCCTCATCTTCACCGTTTATCCTCATACTGGAGTAATATGATCCTCCAGCACAATTTGCATAAGCCAGTGTGCCATAACTAAACGACTTCCTAACACTGGCTTCCTCCTTGCCCTCATCCGATTCTCCTTCCTCAAAATCTTCAAGTGAGTCAGAGTCAAAAGGGTAGTTATATTCGCCATCTTCGCTCCGAGAACACCTGCCATCACTACCCTCTTCCTCCCGGCAGGCCTTTTTCGCTCTCCTGGTGGACACATACTCCGTAAAAATCTTAACTTTTCTAAGACCAGCTTTAATTGCAGAAAGCTCATCCTTCTCAGTCGAAGTGGTTTCTCCTGATTGGGGAGGTGGGGATACAACAGGCATAATTGCTGTCTGCACTGGCTCAGTGGTTTCCTGAGCTGTTCTCAGCTCCAGCAAACTAAAAGATATCTGCACGGTCGAAAACCCAAGATCAATAAAACGCAAACCAACCCTACCATCACATTTTCTCACAAGAAGGCAAACAATAAGGCACGTACACAGAGCAAGGGATGTGACTCAGCAGCACCAGTAGAGAGTGTAAGAGGCAAGTTCAACTCAATTTCCTTTTCTTCAGCTAAAGAAGCAAACTCGGCAAGGTTCAGCGTCCCAGTTGCAACAACAGGAACCTTGTTTTTAGGCCCCTGGTTCAAGCCCTGGATAAACACAGATTCTTTATTAACTCCCCTCAGATTCTTACAATCAACAAACAAACACACTATTCCCATCACAAATATTAAGTTTGACAAGTCAAGTGATCAAATCTCCGGTATTCAGGAATAGTAACAATGAAAATAAATAAATAAATAAAATTCTAGAATGGTCAACTCTCAAATAATCCATTACTGCAAATCTTTACCTAGTCTGAACCCAAATTCAATCTGCAATCTGAACCCACATCAAGTCTATGATCTAATATCTCAAATCTTCACTAAACTTTTAACCCACTAATTTTCATTCCAAAAAACGTAAATTTATTTTAAAAACAAATATACGTAAATCAAGAAATGGCCAAAGACCCACCAAAGATCATAGAAAAGAAAAATAAAAAAGATATATATATATATATATTTTTAAAATAAAGAAAGAAAAACTCACATTGAAGACAGTGAAACCGATCTCCCAAGGATGAAAGACATTTTCTTTATAAGCAGAAAAAGTACAAAGAGACTGAAACTCTTCGTCCCACAAAACAACACCGTTTGGACTTTCGTTTTCGTTTTCATTTTGGTGATTTAGTTGAGCTTCTCTGGTGAAGTTCCTCCTGACCCTTCTTCTCAAAGTACTCAAGGCGACTTTAGGACCCTTCCAACGAATCTCAACCGCTAACCTTTCTTCTTCCTTCTTCTCTGCAACCTCCCGCACCAGATCCCACCCCTCCATCCTCTGTACCACCAGTTTCACCTCGTACTTCTTCGTCACAAGAGGCGGCCACGGCCGCCACCTCATCATCTTTACCACCATTCTTCAGACCAACCCAAAGCAAATACCCAAAAAAAACAACCTCAAAATCCTCAAATCCTTCAAAAAAACAAAAAGAAAAGAAAACTTGTTTCGAAAATTACACAATGTTTTTCATTCTTCCCATAACCGAACCACCCAAAACAAACACAAAAACGAAAAATCCTTAAAAGCTCCGAATTCTTGAGAAGCGTGAAGATAAAACAAATGGGTTGTTGAAAAACTCTTTGGGAAGCAAAATTAGTGGGTTAGAGAAGGGAAATGAATGGAGATTGTGAATGATTTTGCAAGGAAAAGAGGCTGTGAAATGAACAAGAGAGAGAAGAAAGAATATGCCGTTAATTTGGGGAGAGAGAGAGAGAGAGAGAGAGAGAGAGAGAAGGCAAGTGTTTTAGCTCACACGCTGAGAAAGACAAAGACAAAGAAAGAGAGAGTCTGAGTTGGTGATTGTTGAACGTTGGAGGGGTTAAAAGAGAGAAGGGTGAATTTATTAACCTAGGTTTTCAGAATTTGGGAATTCAAAATATAATTTTAGATAAAAGTTTTTTTTTTAAATTTAAATATTATAAGAAAAATATTGTATATTCTAAATAGTTTATCAATCAACATATCATGTTATTTATCCTATAAATTCGTTATTTAGACATCAATCATAACGATAATTGTGAAATCTTTCTATTTCTTCTAAAATTGTGATTCTTTATATATGTTTTGACGTGTGTATAATAATATTCATATAAATATGACAAAAAAAATTTATAAAATAATTTATAATTAATGAGTTCCACCCTAATTACATTTCAATATTAATTAAACTCTATTAATGTTTTGACCTAATTAATTTCATTAATTTGTTTGGAACATCTCTATTAGAGGTAGTGTTTATATAATTTTTTAAAATATATATATATAAAATTAAAGTTCTATTTACAATGTGCTTTTGGTGGGGTTAGGGTTAAAGAGAGAGGCTTAACGGCGTTTTAACGATAACGAGGTAGTTGAGTTGACTTCCGTTTTTATTCAATATTTGTTTTATCCAAACACTATCCGCTTTGGAGGTTATTTTCGGAAAAAATTATATTCTTTTTACTGGCTTTTATTCTTATATATTTTTTCAAATTACATTATTAAAATTTTTTATTATCCATTTTCAAGATAAGGAAAAGATTAATTTTATTAATGATTTTAAAACGTGACCTAAAAAGAGAACAAGTTCTTTTTTTTTTTTTAATTAAGAATTTATTTTCGATTTATTGAATTTTAACAAAACCTTCCCAATTGGGCCAAAAAAATATCAAGAATTAAATTGGTTAATTTTATTTTATGTCAATGTTTATTAATAAAGATAAATTAAATTTAACCCCAATTAAATTAGTATCAAACCCATGGAAACTTTATAAAATTCATTACAAAAAAACTCCTAATATATCAACAAAAACATATTAATTTATTTTCCTATTTAAATAAATATATTTTTAGTGTTTACCCTAAAATAAGAATGTAAATTATTTTTTTTCTCAATTAATGGGTAGCAATAGATTGAATTTTTTTTAACTATCTCTGAGTGGTTAAGCGGTTCGATAAGGACTTTTTTGAGTATTACTCAAAAGATTCTGAGTTCGAGCCCCTCGTCGGTTACTAATAGAAGTAGTCACTGTAACTCTTATCTTAGAGTCTTAAGGGATTAGTTGAGGTGCACGTAAGCTCGTCTAAACACCCCCCCCCCCCAAAAAAAAAAAAAAAGATAGAATTTCCCAAAAAAATAAATGGAAAATAATTAAATTTTTATGGTATGAAAATAAGTATGCTTTTTGGTTTAAAGAAGGTGTTAGGCTAAATTTGTGTCACAAATCTAATGACCAAACATTTGTTGGGTAAGAATAATTTTATGTAATTTACTAGATAAAGAAATTATTTTTTCATATATAATAAAAATATGTTTTTCCTTTTTAAACCCAATTATTTTTGTATCTTACTAGGTGAAGAAAATTATTTTGTATCTAACCCCAATTATGTTTACAATATGAACACAACTAGTCTATTCATTTATTAATTACTCTCTAAGACTTACCCAAAATTGAACACTAATTACTCAATAGCCATTAGTATTAATTGATCTCCATGTTTAAGGCAAATTCCAACCCAATTCACAGAGATTTTTAGGAAACCAAACTTGCCGCCACAAAGGACAAAACAAAATTAATGAAGTAAATCCACCAAAATTAATACTAATTAAATCATTAATCACATTAAACATGGTAATTTCATAGTGTGTTTCATGTTGTAAATTTGATGGGCAATTAATGTTTTATTTGATTATTGTATAAGAGGTCATTGATATTGAATTCCATCTACATTACGGAAGGAATTTTTAGTTTAAATTAAAAACTTGGAAAAAACACATGAAATTTTGTCTTTTAACGTTATTCGACATTAATAGATAAAAGTTGAAATTTTAAAAATAAATCGACATTAATACCCAAAATTTTGGAGACGATGTAATTACTCATGNTTATGGTATGAAAATAAGTATGCTTTTTGGTTTAAAGAAGGTGTTAGGCTAAATTTGTGTCACAAATCTAATGACCAAACATTTGTTGGGTAAGAATAATTTTATGTAATTTACTAGATAAAGAAATTATTTTTTCATATATAATAAAAATATGTTTTTCCTTTTTAAACCCAATTATTTTTGTATCTTACTAGGTGAAGAAAATTATTTTGTATCTAACCCCAATTATGTTTACAATATGAACACAACTAGTCTATTCATTTATTAATTACTCTCTAAGACTTACCCAAAATTGAACACTAATTACTCAATAGCCATTAGTATTAATTGATCTCCATGTTTAAGGCAAATTCCAACCCAATTCACAGAGATTTTTAGGAAACCAAACTTGCCGCCACAAAGGACAAAACAAAATTAATGAAGTAAATCTACCAAAATTAATACTAATTAAATCATTAATCACATTAAACATGGTAATTTCATAGTGTGTTTCATGTTGTAAATTTGATGGGCAATTAATGTTTTATTTGATTATTGTATAAGAGGTCATTGATATTGAATTCCATCTACATTACGGAAGGAATTTTTAGTTTAAATTAAAAACTTGGAAAAAACACATGAAATTTTGTCTTTTAACGTTATTCGACATTAATAGATAAAAGTTGAAATTTTAAAAATAAATCGACATTAATACCCAAAATTTTGGAGACGATGTAATTACTCATGACTTATGCGTACCCCAACTAATCCCCCGGGACTCTGAAACTGCCGACCAAATGAAAGCTCCAATGGCTACCCCTATATTAGCAATCGAGAATAAACTCTAACTTATGACCTCTTAAGTGATATACCCAAAAGTCTCTATCGAACCACTCGGTTGTTTTGTTGAATGAAAGTTGAGTAATGAAGATTAGTGTTATGTCTTGTAATCATCTTAGGGATATGCATAATTACATGATTTTGTTCTTTTTAAGTAGATGTTGCTTAAAGAAAGTTTTAATATAATTTCATGAATAAATTCTAAAGTGGGTTGGTGTATGTGTTATTGTCAACTATTTATGAAATAATATAAATAGTCTTTAATTATAAATGGACTAAAGAAATTAAACCTTACTCTATGGTCTTTTTTATATCATGGTCACTCTCATCAAATTTAATTAATGGATGCATGCATAAACTATAAAGTCTAAAGTGTGAAGCAAAGTCAATTACCTCTATAGTAAAAAATTCAATAATTTTATTATATGGCTTTTGATACCCGTGTTGGGATTCATAATAATGTATGATTTATAATTTATCACTTTGTAATATAAAATATTTTATGCTCACACTAAGGTTGAACATTAAATGTGTAAAATATATATAATATGCAAATTACAATATCATAAATGCATGTTTTCATTATAGTTTTTAATAAGGTAGGTTTAGGTTGGATGATTATTGTTGATGCGAAAATCCGCAACAACAGAAATACGTGGTTGACAATGTTAGAATCATGTAGAATGTGTGTGTGATCTTGATAGATATGGAGGCAACCCAACATGAATGTGTAGTAATAATCTTAGAATAACAAAAAAACAATAAAATACTTTTAAAGTGGTTTAATTGCATATAATACAAAACCTACATCATATGTTATGTTATTGAATGTATTGACGAGCTGAATTACAAATAGTTATGTTGAGTTATAAAGAGTTATCTCAACGAGTCAACATTCTTGAGTTCTTTTTTTCCTTAGTCTCTTTCTCAAATCTCTTCTCTCTCTCGAGGACCTCTAAAACAGATTATAAATGAGTTTATATAACACTCGTTACAAGATTGAATTAGAAATAAATTCAAATAAAAAATAGTGAGATCTTCGGCATTGATTGTGGAACCCATATCGCAAAATATCTCAGGCTGAAATAAGAGTTATCTTTTCTAAATTTATTGCACCACATTATGAATTTTACTAAATTTCTAATAGATATAGATGTTTAAAAACGTATTTATAATCTATAAATAATAATATAAATTGAATGTTGATTTGAAAAAACAAAACAAAACCAAAAAAAAAAAAACCAATTCCTTTATAAATATTACTTAATAATAGTGTTAAACCCACGTATAATCCATGACAATAATGTATAATTAGTCAATAATTTCGGGTCGACCTTTAAGCTAATCCAACCAATTTTGTTCTTTGTAAACCAAACTATATAATGTATTAATAAATATGACCATTAGACTGATAGACACGGTCCACGCGGACCCTTTGACTTGCATGTGCCCCCCATGTGCACTGTAGCAAATGCCCCCCATGTGAATTTTTGCTTATAAAGTTGGGTAGGGATCAAACCAATTTCCTTCAAGAAAAAAAAAATTTAATTAATTACACACTTATGCTTTTACAGCTAGGCTTTTGAAATTTTAGAATATTTTGAGCCTTAGAGTTTGGGTGTATATATGATTTGATTTGATTGTTTGCCTTGCAAGTTGAAAGAAATCCTAGCCACACATCATTATGATGATTAAGATCATGATTAAACTAATTAATTAAATAATTAATTCTATGTGAGGTTCATTAATTATTAATTAATTAGCTTTAACTAAACAGGTAGACCGCTCAAATTAGATCTTCAAGTGATCGCTTCGAGTTGAAAGTTTTGTAAGCTTAATTAATTAATTAAGCGGCAGACAATTAAGGGTGTTGGAGATTATTATGGTCAAATCAATATTATTTTTTAAGTAATTAAGTGATTTTTTATTTTAATTATAATTTATTTTTTAGTTCACCTATGATATTTCATTTACATATAAATGAAGAAATTTGTATGAATATTTTCTATATTTTATATTATTTTTCTTTAT